TGCGTCTGCCGCAGTGTGCACGCCAACCTGACGCCAGGGTGATGGGCGCATCTTGGGCTGCTGTGCACAGGGGAGGAAAAATCTGGGATTTGCGTGTGTGTCCCTGGGGATGGGAGCCAGTGAGACGGGAGCTGTTGGCTCCCAAAGCAGGGGGTATGTGCCTGGGGAGCATCTGCAGCCCCCCCAGCCCTGAGAGCAGAGGGTGTTGCACGGGCCGGGCTGTGCAGGGCAGTGGAATGTGTTCACCCCCGACAGCTCTGCCAGCGGGAGGGAATCTTGTCATTTTACTGAGAGCTGAAACGTTCAAGGAGAGTCGGTGCCAGCTGGCAGCCCAGGGAGTCCTGCTCAGCTGCAGCCCTGCACCGTGTGGGGTGCATTTGTCCGGCACGATGCAATCCAGGGCCAAACCAGCTGCTCAGGGTCCTGGGGCTGCTACAGGCTGAGATTGAGCTGGTGAAAATGGGTTATTGTGGCCGCCCAGCCCTGGGTCAGCGCCTTGGTGTTGCCTGGGGCTGAGCAGCACCCCCCAGGTCACCCCCAGCCTCTGTCTGCTTGCCGTGCCGCGCCGTGCCGTGCCTGGCGTGGCCTCCCCCTGCACGTGGGCATGGCGCAGGTGGGCACAGGGCTCCTCCCACGCTGCCTGGGCGGGAGAGCGGAGTCGATGGCAGATTCCAGCGATGGGAGAGGACATGGTGGTGGAGCCACAGAGCTGCCGGGTGAGTCACGCCTCGGCTGCTCCTATTTGTTGTCTGCCTGGGCCAGGCCTGGCAACGTAAGGAAAATTAATAACAAATACCTGGGCAACGAGGCGAGAGATGGGGCGGGCGGTGCAGGATGGCAGAGGGCTGAGCCATGGGCCGTAGCTGGTGGTGGTTGAAGGATGCTTTTGCCGCGGCAGAACAGGCAAGCTTTGACGGGTTCCCCGCAACTCCACAGAGGGGGACGGTGCTCTGCGGAGACACATCGCCCGGACCAGGTCTGTGCTAGGGCACGTGTCGGTGCGTGTCCCTGCGTGCGAGCAAAGGCGGTGACAGTCCCCAAGGCCACCCGGGGAAGGAGCGTGGCACGGTGATTTGGGGCCCACAGGTGCTCCAATGGGGACCTCTCGGTGCTTCTTGAGTGTCACTGTACCTTCTCTCTCCTCCCAGGCTAGCTAACAGGATAGGGGGACCATGAACTGGGGGGTGTTCGAAGGGCTCCTCAGCGGGGTCAACAAATACTCCACAGCCTTCGGCCGCATCTGGCTGTCCCTCGTCTTCATCTTCCGCCTGCTGGTCTACGTGGTGGCGGCTGAGCGGGTCTGGAGTGATGACCACAAGGACTTTGACTGCAACACACGGCAGCCGGGCTGCAGGAATGTCTGCTTCGATTACTTCTTCCCTGTCTCCCACATCCGCCTGTGGGCTCTGCAGCTCATCCTGGTGACCTGTCCATCCCTCCTCGTCATCATGCATGTGGCCTACCGGGAGGCCAAGGAGCAAAGGCACCGCGCTGCCGGTGGGGACAACTGCCGCTGCATCTACCCCAACCCCGGCAAGAAGCGAGGGGGGCTCTGGTGGACCTACCTGCTCAGCCTCTTCTTCAAGGCTGGTGTGGACGTGGTCTTCCTTTACATCTTCTACCGCTTCTACAGGAACTACACCCTGCCTCGGGTGGTGAAATGCGAGCTGCCTCCCTGCCCCAACATGGTGGACTGCTTCATCTCCCGGCCCACCGAGAAGAATATCTTCACCCTCTTCATGGTGGTCACTGCCTGCATCTGCGTCGTGCTAAGCCTCATCGAGGCTGCCTACCTGATCTGCAAGCGGTGCCGCGAGTACCTGCTGGCCAGCAGTGGGGAGAGCTATCGGCACAGCCAGGACTGCACGCTCTCCCGCGTCGAGCCCACAGACACAGGGGACCAGGTTTTCCACGGCACGGACTACAAACCCCCCACAGCCTCCATCCCCAACCCGGCCTCCAGCCCCGGCACGCTGCCCGAGGAGGAGGCTCTTCCCTAGAGCTGCCTTGGGTAAAGCAGGAGGTGCTCACCTGCGCTGCACCCTCCTCATCCTCCTCCTCCTCTGTCCCCCTGGTGCAGGAGCACTGGGGGTGGCAGCACCCTAGAGTCGGGCTGTGCCCAAGGACTTTCTGCCTTTCCATCCCGGGGAAGGCACGCTACATCGTTCTGCTGAATTTGAGGTAAAACCAGGTGCTGTAGGACACGTGCGGTCCCTGAGAGCCAACAGGGAGAAGCAGCTCCATGATGGCTGTGAACCAGCAGCGGTGCCTGGAGGTTGAGCCTATCCCAGCTGGGCTGGCTTAGCTGGTCCTGAGAGTATCATTGCAATGAATAAAAATTTCTGTCCCTCAGCAGTGATGGCCAAAGCAATTGTTCTCCTGCTCCCTGGGCACAATGCTGCCAAGAGAGGAGTAAGGGCTGCATCACCCCTGGAACGGCATCGCTCCTACGGGCAGCTCCAGGCTGGGTTTGGACCAGCCGTGGTGACAAACCACCGGCCAGAGGCTCAGGTCTGCTGGAGAAAAGCCACTGAAAATGGGAGCAGCCTCTGGTGCTGGGCACAAGTGATGGCTTCAGATGGAGGCAGGAGCACCGCGGTCAGAAGGGTGGTTTTTGGGATATACGGGGTGTTACAAGGTCTGTGCTGCCCGGGGAAGGGCTTGTCCTTGCACCCAGAAAATCAGCGGCAAAACTCCTGCTGCATTTGCCGGGCACCAGATGCAGGCGAGCAAGGAGAACAGCTTAATTATCTCCCTGTAATTGCAAGCCTTAAAGAAAATAAATACATTCTTGATTTGAGATGGGCTGCTGGGCACAGGTGGGCACACCCAGAGGCGTCAGCATCCCCGGGGACCCACGGGTGGCAGAGCCCTTTGTGGCTGTGGGCTGCCAGGCTCGTGCTGGAGCAATTTAAACATACCACAGGTTTTCAAACCAGCTCGGAGGTGGTGGAGGTGGCGAGGGAGAGGGGCTGGCGAGGACGGGCACCCTCGAGCCCCCTGGGGAACCCGTCCCTATCCTCTCACCCTACATAAGCCGCACTGCAGGTGTCGGGGCCATTTCAGACTGATGCGATCGTCATTAATAGTGCTCGTTAGCTGAGTGGGGACACGAGCACGTGCTTGGTGTGGCAGCCACCATGGCGAAGCGCGGGGGTGAGGATCCAGCCGGGCAGGCAGAGCCCGCTGTGGGCTGTTGGCTCTTCCTGCCTGGCCAGAGAAAAACAGACAAATAAAGGAGAGGAAAAACACCCCAACCATTGATTAAACAATAACATTAAATGGCAGAATATGATCTCATTTATTGCTGTAATATGTCGCGTTCTGCCGTGACTCAGGCGGCACTGCAATTTCTAAGGCCATCAACGGTAACTGAGCATTAGCTGGGATGAATAATTAACAATAATTTCATGGCAAATGCACTCGTAAGTAACATTAACATTGAACATGCAGCGCGATCTGTTACTGGTTTCGCTTTATTTAGAGGGTGCCATTATTATTTTTTCCATGAGCACCGGCAGCCCCGGCACTCACTGGCTCTGCTGCGAAGGAAGCAGCGTGGCAGGGGGATGCCACCACCATGTCCTTTCAGACCGGGGCTGTTCTCGGTGGCAGATCATTGCAGCCACTGCCATTTTGCAGCACGCCTGACCCAACGAACCAGCTCCCACATGAGACCTTCGCTGGGCAAAGCTGAGCTCCTTCCCACAGCCCAGCCTGGGGAGAGGGACCAGCCTGGATGTGCTGAAGGGGGAGGTAGAAGGACCGCTGTGGCCAGGGGGATGCTGGGGGCAGGCAGGGCTGCAGCGCTGTTGGCCGAGAGGGCAGGAACCGGACTCCCCACAAGAGGGAAGATGGTGAAATACAGGTGGATGTCTTCCATCTCATTTTAAGCGAAGCTGTGCTGATCTCTGCCTTCCTTCTGCCCGCTCTTATTGCTGTGCTTGCTGGATTATCCACCTGAAAATTTTCTTTACTGAAGCCTTTAACATCACAGGGTACAAGTCGTTCTTTGTGTGCAAGCCATTGCCTCTGATTTAAAGAGCTAGGGCTGGGCTGTTTGTTTTCAAGCAAGGCTGGCCGCTGTTGATCAAGGCTGTCCTCGATTAGCAAAACCCCGAGGTGTTCCCCAGCTGCAAGTACTAATTGTGGCAGAGATGAGACCCAGAGCAACCACCCTGCCCGCCTGCCCCGCTTCCGCACATCAAAGCTGCAGCCAGAGCCGCTGCCCATTGCGAGAGACCTGACAATCCAGTTGCCATTTGCTGTTGTGCTACTTTATCTCACTCAAAGAAAGCATTGCAGCTGCTCTGCAAATCTCTGGGTGTCTTGCACCATCCCAGCTTGGGATCAGTGGCAGCTGACTGGGCAAACGGGAGCATCTTGCTGCTTCTTTCTGATGCGTTTCTGTGTTTTGCATCAAGGGGAGCTGAGGTTGCCCTGGTTGGTGCTGCAGCCATGGGGGGAGGCTGGAGGTTGTGCCACCTCCTGGGACGCAGAGCACTGGGTTAAGAGGCAGGACCGGTGTTGGTGGGAAAGCAAATAAGCTGAGGGATATCATAATAAAAGCTGAATATTTCCCAGATTTTGCATCATCATACAGGGCATTGTATTTGCTTGTGGGGTGCCCAGAAGGCCCCCTGAATTTTGGGGAGAGGAGATTTAAAACAAAACAATCACTAGCTCCAGCCTGGCCAGGGGTGTGGAGGGCTCGCATGTACAGTGGCACAGGTCAGGGGTAGCCTGTGCTTCCCAGTGGGGACTTGTTTCTTCCCTGCCCAAAAACCGTCTGTTTGCTGGGAATTGAAGAGAAACTCTCTGATTTACGTCCAGCGTGGCGGAGCAAGCGGCTGCCCTGGCTGCCAGCTCCCAGGCTCCCATGACTCCTGCTCCCCAGCGCTTGCGGGGGAGGTTTCCTCCCTGGGGATGTGGCCCTGGAGCAGGATGGCCGGGGTGCTGTGGGCAAGCAGGGAGTGTGAGATAAAAGGTAGGGCTGGGTCCCAGCCCTGGCTGGCAGCCAAGTCCTGCCTCCTGCAATGCTCTCTTTGAGACCCTTTTAAAGACACTTGGAGGTTTTCCTGCTGGTTTGGCAGCCGCCTGCTCCACTGCTTGGGTTTTTCCTTTATGGAGGACCCAAGGTCAGGCCACTGGAAGTTACTGGGGGTTTTAAGTGTTCACATCTGGTACTGAAGCCTTTCACCCCTCACCCCACCAGGTCAGAGCAGGGTGACATACTCTGAGCAGGGTGACAGGAGGGTGACATACTCTGAGCATGTACTCGAAGCTCCTCCAAGGGCTCCCTGGTGCCGAGAGCTGCTGAACTATGTTGGCACCTTGTCCCTGTGCCCATGCAGATCAGTCAGCAGAAGAATGGAGGAGGGGGTGCAGGGACTTGCCCTTTGCTGGGACTCCCAAATACCAGGCTCAGTACTGTGAAACACGGGATGTTTCAGTTCCCCACCCAACTGCCTTAGGGGAAATCTTCTGCCTGTCCCAAAAGGCACCTGAACTTTCTCCCCATGGCCGAATGGCTCCTTCTGAAATTCCGAAATTGCAGGTGAGAGGCTGCTGGGGGGGGTCTGGCCCTGCTCTTCGCCTGGCCCTGACGGGGTTTTACCGTGGGGCAAGGAGCTGCTGCCTTCACAAGAAATCAGACCTGCTGGCGGTTCTCGCTGTTTCCTACCCTTGTGGGAATCTCAAAGGCCCCCAGATTCCTGCCAGCTCTCTACAACATAGCTCAAATTCCTGATCCTGCCGATAGGACTGTGCAAAGATGACTCCTGGGTGAGGGGAGGCTCTGGAGCCCTCCCTTTGCTCTCATCCGGGATGAGGGTGCCTATGTCTGCCCTCTCCTCCGGGCTCACCCTGCTCTGCACCCCCAGGCTCCTACAAGGGTTTGCTTTGGGTCCTCCACTCCCATGGCCTCTCCCCGCTGTGTCCCCAGTCTGGCAAAGCCACATAGGCTTTATTTAACCTCCTGGAACCAAAAAGCTGCTGGGTGAGTGGCTCCTTGTCCGCCACAAGTGCCAGGAGCAAACTTCTCACAGCACCAAGCACCCAGCGGGGCTCTTCAAACATGTCCCCACGGGAGTGGTGGCCCTGGCGAGGTGCCGCATGGGGCTCCGCAGGGCAGGGAGCGCCTGGGAGAACACTGCGGTGCGCTTGACCCTGGGGCGTGCCAGAGAGATGCTGGGAAAGCCTCGGGGCAGCCAAGAGGCTGGGTAAACCACTGGCAAGCGGAAACACATTCCTGCCCGGGCCACGTCTGCAGAGGCATGAAATGGGGCTGCTCCGCGGGGGGAGGCTGAGCTGGGCAGCCAGCTGCCTGGGCAGGGGCTGACTCAACCTCCTGGGAGCCACCGGCACTCTGGGGAGAGGGACACATCCCGAGTCCCATGGGGATGCAGCCGGAGGCAGCCAGCAGGGCAGGATCCCACTGTGTGGGGACCCTGCTGCGAAGCTTTGTCACCCGGTCCGTGACACTCTTTGGGAAAGGTCTTGTCCAGGACACCCTGGTGCCGGCAGGGCGGTGGCTGCAGGTTGCTGGAGGTTGGAGATACCAATGAGCTGTTGCAAGACTCTTACTAAGGCAAAATCATTAAAGAACTGGGTTCTAATTGCATAATTTGTGATTCTTAGCAACGGTTGCTGGCTGACCCATAGCTGGGGGGGACACTGTGAGCCCGGTACTGGTCCCTTGCCACCCTGGTCTTGCCCAGGGTTTGCTACGCCCAGAGCCACCCATGCGGGGGATGGAGCATCACCTGGCAGGAGCTGCTGGCGTGGCTTGCAGAGGAATCTGTCTCTGTTGATCTCACTGTAGGATTTGACCCGCCTTTATTGTTCAACCCGAGCGTGTGCGTGCATGTGCGCAGACAAGTACCTCTACGGGAGATGTTTGCCAGACTCACCCAGTGACTGGGAACAGAACAAACTACCCTTCCCCTCCCCACACACACTCAGCGCTGTGGACAGAACCTGGGCACACAGGAGGGCTGCGGACGACACAGCTGGGAAAGAGCTTCCCTACTCCGAAATCTGCCTGGATCCAGCTACGTCCCTCTGGCCCTTCACCGGCTGGGCAGGTACCTCCACATGCCAGGGCAGAGGCGCGGGGTGCTCACAGGGCTGCGGGGGACCTGCAGGTTGCGGGGGGGACAGACACAGTGGTGCTAACGGCGTGTGGGTGGGAG